TTTTTTTTTTTTTTTTTTTTTTTTTTGATTCTCAGTTAAAAAAGTAAAATTGGTTTGCAAATTGCAAAAACAATTTCTGTTGACTGATTTTGTTTTTGTAGCACTTTCTTTAAAAAAAAAAATAATAATTGTCACCTTCTGTATTTTTTTCTCATTAAATTTGCATAATTTTTCCTTGATGGAATACTTTTTCCAGTTTAATGTGATATGAGTGTGCATTCTATAGGTTGACTATAAACATCAAAGCTGTCATTAATTTATTTAACATGTCAACCAATAGTGTGAGTTTGGTCTGGCCAATAACGGAGAGGGGTGGGGCTTAAGGGGTTTCTTAGAGTTTTTGGATTCATTTATTACACTGGATTTTTAGCCTCATTCAGTCTCATGCTTGTAGAGGACACTGTCTTGAGCAGTGTTGATCCGTTCTGCGCAGATGACCAGCATCAGTGGTCTCATACTTTTTGGACTCTATTATAATGCATATTCTACCTCTTTACCTTTTAACTATATAAAAGCTCCCATTTAGATATCTGGTTTCCTTTTTGGTGAAGAATGCGCTTTTAAGCTTTCAGCTGGCCACTGCAAAGGATTTTTATTGATAAAATTAGCATATTAACTGGAAGTTATATGAAAAGGAAGATTATTTGCTTTATGGAAGGGCAAAAATTTAGTTAATTATTTTGGGGAGTACTTTATAATAACTTGTATAATAAGTTACTTAACATAGGGAGAAGTATGTAATTTATGCGACGTATAAGTTAAGTGAAATTGCATAAATAATGTATGACATTATTGTATAACAAAAAAATGACATACCGTACTTACAATACTGATCAAAAGTTTGGGATCAGTAAGATTTTTTTCTTTACTTTTATTCAGAAAAAAAAGCATGAAAATGCATTAAATGTTTTTATTTTATTAATTGTTTCAAATAAATGCTGTTCTTTTGAACGTTCTATTCTTAAAAGAATAGACATTGATAATAATAAGGAAATGTTTATTGTGCACAAAATCAACATCTGAAGGATCACGTGACACTAAAGACTGTCATCACAGGAAGAAAATACATTTAAAATGTATTCAAATACAAAATAGTTATTTTAAATTGTAATAATATTTCACAATATTTTTGTTTTTACTGTATTGTTGATCAAATACATGCAGCCTTGGTGAGCCTAAAAACCTTCTTTCAAAAACATGAGAAAAATCAGCATTGTTTGACAGATCAGTATTTGATGTATATACAGTAAAGAAAATATATGAATCAAAATGTGATATTTCTAACCATTTTAATACATTACGTAATTATATATCATATATTATTATTATTATTTGATGTTATTTTACATTGTCACCTGCAAATCCAAGTGGAGAAATCAAATAGTTACTAAAAGACAAAACAAAAGACTTTAACGTGACATTCAGCCTTACGAGATCCCTTTACATTGCAGCCTTTGAAAAGGACATTGGGCTTTAACTATTGATTTTACCTCTTTTTCCCAACAACCATTATCTGAACAATAACGGCAGTGAGATCTCTTCATCCTCATGTAATTGAACGAGAAATAAAGGAGGTGGCGTCGTCTCGGCAGGGTGATGGATAGGGCTATTCAAAGCGTGTTTTCATTCAGCAAAGGCCATCTTCTTCACCTCTGGCTCGCACTTCTGTGCATTTATTAGTGTTATTGCTGCATCCATCATTTTTAATCTAAAGACATGCTGCTTGAAACCAATTACTGAAGCATCGTGTTCTTGTTTTTTGTTTGTTTGTATGTGTTTTTTAAGTCT